GTGGTAAATAAATTTATTAAATATTAAAATACAATATAATATACATTAATTATTTCCACCAAGGTCACCTTACCTTCCCCATCATATCACCCCATTACACCACCTTCCCTCCACCTTTACACCGGAGACAGCCATCGGCTCCGGCGACTGTTCGGGAGATCACTCCGATTACGGCTCCGATGACTTAAAATTTTTTAGAAAATTAAAAATTGAAAATCACACCCCCACCCCATGGATCCACTTATTACCACCCTCATTCGCTGACACATGTCATCCGTGACTAATTGTGATCAAGTTTGTATTCAATGTGACTAACTGTGACCAAATTTGTGTTCAGTATGACTGTCTGTGACTAGGTCAATCTCAAGTCACAATCGGTCACAATCAACATAAAATTGGTCACAATCGCCAACACATGAAGATCTAATGCTCGTAGCTGCAACCAGCATATCGTACCACCGCATATAACACTAGTAACCACCGCCAAAACACCACTAGTCACCACCATAATACCCCACACCACACCACACCTAACCTCAACCGAACCCAACCACCACTAAGCACCACCGCACCAAGCCACCTATCAAAAATTAAAAAAAAAAAAAAAAGGATTAATGGATCGCACTGTGCGCAGCGAAGATGAACACCCACCCACTGGGGGCCACTAGTTTTCACAACATTCCCCAACCATCTCCAGCACCAGAGAGATAGACGGGAGAAAGGGCTACATTATAGCCCCTCTCTAGCAACTATGTACCGCCACCATTGTGACCACACTAGCATATCGCACTACCACGACCTCCTCCACCTCCAACCTTATCGCATCTAGAGAAGACGGTATGAAAAAGATCGTGGTTTGAGGAAGACGATGGTTGAGAGAAGACAGTGGTCGGAAGAAGAAGATGATTGGATCTATAGAGAGAGAAAGTGTTGTTGTATGGAGAGATAATTTTATTTTATTTTTTAAGGAAAAGAATCAAAAGAATGGAAAAGAAAAGGACATCTGGAATCAAGATATTTAGAGCATGTTTGGTACCGA